TGGCACTGGGTGGTCATTGAGGTCCTTTCCAACCCAAACCATTCCATGGTTCTATGACTCCGTGCTGTCCCTCTGCCCCCATCCCAGCACACGGAACCAGCCCCTCTGTGACATCAGCCCCTGCCCGGGGGCACCGGGAGGGCCGTGGGGGCTGCGCTGGAGGTGACCCCCCGCTCCTGGCACTGCCACCCATGGCTTGGTTGTGGCTCCTGGTCCTGCTGGCCCTGGCCGGGCCCGTGGGTGGCACCTGGGACACCTGCGGGTCAGTGGCCCCAGGATGTGGGAGGGAGCTCGGGAACACTCGAGGGGTTCCCAGCAGAACGGGGGCACAGACGTGCCCTCGGGGGTCCCTGGCCCTGCCGCCCCTCGGCGCAGTGTGGGGGGGACAACAGGGGACCTGAGCAGCCCCTGAGCAGGGCAGTGATGGCTTTGTGCTTCCAGAGGGACCTGCGGGCTCCGGCCCATGGCTTCCGACCACAACTCCCTGCTGCCCGACTACGACGCAGATGACAACTACGGAGCCGTGGATTCTTCCGGCGGCACCGTGCGTGGCAACGATGTCGCACCCGGGACCTGGCCTGGCATCGTCAGCATCCAGGCCAGCTGGGCAAATGGCACGTGGCACATGTGTGCAGGGGCCCTCATCCACCCCAAGTGGGTCCTCACGGTCGCCCACTGCTTCTTCGGGGCCGGGTAAGGAGGGGCAGGGACAGGGATGTCCCCACAGCTCGGGCAGGTGCCCAGGCTGGGAAGGGAAGGGCTGGGCTGCCCCAGCCCCTGGCTCTGCTCCCTCTCAGCCCTCTCTCCATCTGCCCCAAGGGATGTCTCCAAATGGGAGGTGGTGCTTGGGGCCACTGATCTGACAGAGCTGGGCCCCGAGGCCGAGTTGCACCGCATCCAGAGGCTCCTGGTGCACCAGCACTACGCACCTGCCTTGGCAAGGAACAACGTTGCCCTGCTGGAGCTGGACGAGCCTGTGGAGTGCAGCGACTACATCCAGCTGGGCTGTGTGCCCAACACTCCCCTGAGCGTGTCACAGATGAAAACCTGCTACATCGCAGGCTGGAAAACCACCTTGGATAGTGGTGAGTTCCCAAACAGGATGTGGGCACTGAGGCTGAGCTTGGGGACACGGGCTGGGCTTCCCAAGAGCAGAGGCCAAAGCCAGAGTCAGGCTGCAGGACATGAGCCCCGGCACAGAGGGGCCTGGCCCTGGCCCAGAGCCAACAGCAGGGACACAGCGGGACAACGCTGCTCCAAGGCTGCCCCCACACAGGCCAGGGCACCGAGCCCCGAGCTGCGGGGGCTCATTGCCCTCTGTGCTCCAGCTCTCAGACCACGCCTGGTGCTGCAGGAGGCCAAGGTGCGGCTCATCGATGTGCAGCTCTGCAACAGCAGCCGCTGGTACGCGGGGGCCGTGCACCCCCACGACCTGTGCGCTGGGTACCCGCGGGGCGGCATCGACACCTGCCAGGTGGGAGCGTGGCACCAGTCCCTCAGCCCCCTCAGCACAGGGACCCCCTCACCCCAAACA